ATTAGGATGTGTGCTGATGAAAGAGGGGAAAGTTGTGGCTTATGCCTCAAGATAGCTAAAGAATCATGAGAGGAATTACTCATCACATGATTTGGAATTGGCAGTCGTAGTGTTTACTTTGAAAATTTGGTGCCAATTTTTGTACGGTGAGCATTGCCATGTTTACATGGATCACAAGAGTTTAAAGTACTTGCTGACTCAGAAAGAGCTTAATTTGAGATAGAGAAGACGGATTGAGCTCTTAAAAGATTATGATTTAGTTATTGAATATCATCCAGGAAAGGCTAATATGGTAGCCGATGCGCTCAGTCGAAAGACTTTTGCAGCTTTAAAGGCTTAGATGCACGTATATCTTTAAAGGATGATTGTGTTTTGATTGCTTAATTAAATTTAAAGTCGATGCTTTTGGATCGGGTAAAAGAGATGCAAGGTCGAGATGAGAAATGCTTGATGAAATTGGTGCAAGTTGAAAAAGAAGAGGCCGAAGATTTTGAAATGAGGGATAATGGATGTTTATATTACCGTGGAAGACTTTGCATTCCCGATGATGAGGAATTGAGGAAAGATATTCTTTGCGAGGCACATTATAGCCCTTTGACGATGAATCCAGGTGGGAATAAGATGTATCAGGACTTGAAGAGTCGTTACTGGTGGCCTGGTATGAAAAGAGCTGTAACGTAGTTTGTGTCCAAATGTTTAATATGTCAGCAAATGAAAGTTGAAAATCAAGTGCCTTCCGGATTACTACAACCAATATTTGTCCCTGAATGGAAGTATGAGCGAGTTACAATGGATTTTGTTTCGGGGCTACTTTTTTCACAAGGTAAAAAGGACTAGATATGGGTAATAGTGGACAGATTGACCAAGAAGGCTCATTTTATTCCAGTTTGAGTAGACTACTTGATGGATAAGTATGTGGAGTTGTATATAAAAGAGATAGTTAGACTGCATTGAGTACCGATATCGATAGTGTCTGATCGAGACCTAAGGTTTACTTCAAGATTCTTGAAGTCTTTATATGAGGCATTGGGTACTCGATTGAACTTTAGTATATCTTTTTATTAGCAGACAGATGGGCAGTCAGAGTGAACTATTCAGATACTATAAGATATGCTAAGGGCATGTGTGATTGAGTTTATGGGATCATGGATAAGGTATTTGCCTTTAGCAGAATTTATGTATAACAATAGTTACCAATCGAGTATTAATATGGCCCTGTATAAAGCTTTGTATGGAAGGAAGTGCAGAACACCATTAAATTGGTTTGAATTAAAGATCGAGCTAGTTGGCCCGGATCTAATGAAAGAAATGGAGGAAAAAGTGAAAATAATCCAGAGCAATCTGAAGATAGCCTCCGATCGCCAGGGGTCTTATGCTGATTTGAAAAGAAAAAAAATCGAATTTTAAGAGGGAGACAAAATATTTTTAAAAGTATCACCTTGGAAGAAGGTATTACGTTTTGGGAAAAAAGGAAAGTTGAGTCCAAGATTCATTGGACCTTATGAGATCTTGAAAAGGGTCGGGCCAATAGCTTATCAGTTAGCTTTTCCTCCAGATATGGATAATATCCACAATGTTTTTCACGTATCGATGCTTAGGAGATACATATCAGATCCATCTCATGTTATCACTCCTGGAGAAATAGAGATCCAACCAAATTTAACTTATGAGGAGGAACCAGTACGGATTTTGGATAAGGAAACCAAGGAATTGGGTAACAAAAGGATTCCGTTAGTGAAAGTGTTTTGGCTTAGGAAAGAGAAGAGGATATGAGGAAGCAGTTTTCACACCTCTTCGTTTCAGGTACTTCTTTAAATTCGAGGACGAATTTTCTTAAGGGGAGAGAATTGTAATGCCCTAAATATCGAATTAGGGACTTTATTGAAAAGATTTAAAAATTGATGATTAAAGTGATTAAATGATAAAAGATGAGAAATGACATGGATTAGTGGTTTAGACTAAATTGTAACAAGGGATGATTAAAAGGGAATTTTGGTTATTTGGAATAAAATGAATTTAAAATTCACGCTTTATAAGGTATTAAAGTAAAGAAATAAGGGAAAAGTAAGTTAGCTTAAGTCAACTCTTTTCTTCTTATTTCACGTGGATAACTTTCCTCCAATCTAAATGTGATATTTCAATTTGCTAGTTTATTCTTTCGTTTTTTATTGTTTTTTGAAGCATTAAGTATGATAGAAGCTTAAGGAAGGATTAAATGGGATCAAATTTAAGAGATGGATGAGATATTTGAGATTGAGGAAAATGAGTTTTTGAGTGTTATGTTAGAATATGAGTTTTTAATGATGTTTATTAGTATTTTTGACTTGTCAAATACGTAAATAAGAGATAAAAAGTATTAGATGGGATTAAGAACATGTTAGAAAAAGTGGTGTGATTCTTAGATTTAAATGTTCTTGGAAGATTTTAGATGTTTTAAGAAGCTAAATCAAGGAAAAGTCGGTATGGATAAGAAAGAAGAGTTTAATAGTATTGTTGGGTGTAAACATAAGGAAATTTGACCCAATTTGGGTAATAATCGGGTTGAAAACTGGAAAATCTGGGTATATGTATCGGTACTGATATAAAGTATCATACTATAGGCTTAATATGGGAAGAAACAACTGTGTAGTATCGATATTGATGCAATCAATATCGATACTGAAAGGAGAGTATCGATACTGTGAGGAAGGTATCGATATCATTGATAATTGAATGCAAAAATGGTATCGATACCTTATAGAGTATAGGTACCATAGTATAATAGTATCGATACGATGGTAAGGGTATCGATACTATTGAGCCAGAAATGTTAAGATAGGCTGAGATTATTATAGAAATTTAATAATATGTACTTTTGAGTATTGTTTAAGTATAATTGTTAGGGAATATACTAATAATTGATATTGTACGTATCTTTAATGGATGCTTGAGTAGATCGAAAATCAATCTCTCGAGTCAAGACAAACAAAAGGCAACGGCAAAATAACTGAGTAATCAGTTTGGCGATTTGGATACATAGCGAGGCCAGCCATGTGAGTGCATTTATTATCACTACAACAAATTTGATTATTGTGGCATCTAAAATATTTTCACTGAAACATGCATTTATGTCACTATTGGTATTTTATGACATAAAAATTGACGTCACGACGAACGTCACTCTAGGTGTGTCACTAAATGTCAAATGTGACGATGTATAAGATTTCGTCACGTATTATTAAACATATAATGACGTTAATGGATAATGTCACATTATAATTTGCATTCAATGACAATTAATAATGTCACCAAATAATGTACATTTTCGTCATTGATAAACCAATCATAACCAATAACTCAATATTCTTTGTATACGTGACGAAAGAAAAAGTTATCACAATATAGTGACGCAAATACATGGTAACCTATTAGGAGTATAAATGACGTTTATACATAACGTCACTTATATTCTCTCAATGACAACTAGTTATGTCATTAAATCATATAAATTTTTTATTAATAATTCACATCGTCATGAATAATACATTAAAATCAATCTATATGTGACGAAATAGATATCGTCACATTTTTAGTGACGAAATAGATATCGTCACATTTTTAGTGACGTAATATAACATTACCTAATAGTATTATGAATGACACTTATGCATAACGTCATTTATAAACTTATTGCATGACAGTTAGTTACGTTACTAAATTATAATATTTTTATTAATAATTTATATCGTCATGAATACTACAATAAAATCAACCTATATGTTACGAAAGAGATTGTCAAATTTAGTGACGTAATATATGTTATGGTAATAGTATTTTGAATGATGATTATACATAATGTCACCTTATACAATTTTCTCAAATACAATGACAAAATAAAGATTGTCACCATAACATGACATATATTAAAATGAAAATACTTATATTAATCTTAAAAAAAATAACATAGTTACTTATTGTAAATTAATAAAATTTATATGAATATTTCACTAGAAAACTGTAGACACCCATTTTTGACTGGTTTAAAAAATATTTAAATATTAATTATATTATTATTATTGTATTATATTATTATTAATACAAATTACATTTTGTAGGCCTGAAATCATGCTCACTACAACAAAAGCAACTCAGCAGCCATCAAGGGACCCAATTACAAAAAGATCTAGACCCGAGACCCGGAACTGACTTGGTGCCAGCCCAACCTGAAATTCAACACAACTGGAGCCCAACCCAATCGAGTCACCAAATAATGTACATTTTCGTCATTGATAAACCATATCATAACCAATAACTCAATAATTTCTTTGTATACGTGACGAAAGAAAAAGTTATCACAATATTAGTGACGCAATACATGGTAACCTATTAGGAGTATAAATGACGTTTATACATAACGTCACTTTATAATTGATTCTCAATGACAACTAGTTATGTCATTAAATCATATAAATTTTTTTTATTAATAATTCACATCGTCATGAATAATACATTAAAATCAATCTATATGTGACGAAATAGATATCGTCACATTTTTAGTGACGAAATAGATATCGTCACATTTTTAGTGACGTAATATAACATTACCTAATAGTATTATGAATGACACTTATGCATAACGTCATTTTATAACTTATATTGCATGACAGTTAGTTACGTTACTAAATTATATAATATTTTTATTAATAATTTATATCGTCATGAATACTACAATAAAATCAACCTATATGTTACGAAAGAGATATTGTCAAATTTTTAGTGATGTAATATAATGTTATGTAATAGTATTTTGAATGATGATTATACATAATGTCACCTTATACAATTTTCTCAAATACAGTGACAAAATAAAGATTGTCACCATAACATGACTATATATTAAAATGAAAATACTTATATTAATCTTAAAAAATAACATAGTTTACTTATTGTAAATTAATAAAATTTATATGAATATTTCACTAGAAAACTGTAGACACCCATTTTTGACTGGGTTTAAAAAATATTATAAATATTAATTATATTATTATTATTGTTATTATTATTATTATTAATACAAATTACATTTTGTAGGCCTGAAGCTCATGCCCACTACAACAAAAGCAACTCAGCAGCCCATCAAGGGACCCAATTACAAAACCAGATCTAGACCCGAGACCCGGAACTGACTTGGTGCCAGCCCAACCTGAAATTCAACTACAACTGGAGCCCAACCCGATCGACACTAGCTCAAGCCAAGTCACTGCCGAGCCATTCTCGCCACCGTTGACAAATCTTCACCCAACAGAAAAACAGAATCAAAATCAGCAAAATCACACCAAAGTCAAGAAAATACCTAACCTGGTAATCAGGGGATGATTTCACCTAAACCTTTCATTAAACTACCAAACAAAAGGAAATCAAACAAGAGGACAAGGCGCTTTCGATGAAATGAAAGAAATAAAAGGGGGAGCAGTTTTCGAAGAGGGGGATAACCAGAGAGGATTCGAACAGGGGATTTCAACAGGGAGCACAGATAGAAATTTACTCGGCTTCCATTGAAGAAAAGCACAATCGTTGTAATAGTTGAACCTCATGCAAAAATAGAATACTGAACAAAGGTTTTTTAAGGTATATACCATTTTCCTTTTTTATTTGTTTCTTTTATCAGCAGTAGAATCATATGTTCATTAGGTGTTTAACATTTTCATATTTCAACAAACAACCATATTCAAAATTCATAAACAAAATAAGTAGTTTTCAATATAAAAAATATAATAAAAAATGAAGGATTTGGGGTTGATTTACATGAGTTGTGTGAATTCCAGTGGAGTCTCGTTGACTCTATTTCGTTACCGTTCGGGTTCCATCGTCGAGGTGGGAGTGGTGTCTTTGTTGAAGTATGGAAGGTAAACAATCGGGCTTAGGTTCCTAAAATAAACAGAATAAAGAGAAATTAGAAAACAAAACTAAAAAACGAAAGGAGAGTGGTTCACCTCTAAGGTCTGTTCTTAGGTTCGTTACGGCACCATAGATGTGCATAAGGGAGAGTGGAGTTGATTTTTGGTCAGGAACGACCAACGTGTAAGGGGTTTTGAGTGACCCATTTTGGTGTGATTTGGTACTCGGTTGAGTGAGATAGAAGAGAGGGAGGGCTAATCGGGGTCTCGGTTTGGCTTTGGTTAGGGCTGGTTCGACATCTCGGTCAGTTTAGGGTGGCTAATCGAAGCGAAGTAGGCCACCGTTGGGCATTTCGAGTTTCTCAGTCAGAGTTGGTGCTGGTCGGGGCATGAGAGAGCCAATAGGTTTACGGTGGCCGGTGAGTGGTTGCTATTTGCTTTGAGAAATGCGCCGCCCGTGAGGTTTAAAGAGAGAGGAGAAGAGGCATGCGGCTGAAGGTTTAAAATAATTTAGGATTAGGTTTGATCTTTAATGAGAATATATATTATAAACTTTAGAGTAAATTATGGTTTAGTCACCGCGACCTTAGGGTAAAATCATGTTTTAGTCCCCTTATTTTCAGCGCATTTTTACAAAAGCAATCACATGTAGGACTATTTTCGAGTTTGATCCTTTTTATTTGTCCCAATGTTGATATTTTACATATTTGTTTTCTTGTTTTATTTATTTGGATTAATTCGGTTCATACGCTTCCTATTTTATCATTTTTTATTTATTTTGACCCTTGTTTATTTATTGTTTTGCATGTTTGATTTTTTATTGTATTGAATTTCATCCCTAATTCGACGCTTCCTATTTTATCATACGCTTCCAATTTTAAACGTGTAGGTATATCACTATAATATTTTTAATAAAATTAAAATAGTAAAAAACAAAAACTTATTAAAAATTAATAAATTTAAAATAAAAAATATTGTTTTTAATTATTAAAAATAATTTGACATAAATATTTAACTTTTTCTATATGAGCATAAATATGACTTGTGTTCATGAAAGACTTCATTGGTCTTGTCATGAGCAAGCTACTTTTAAGTTGTTGCAATATGTAACAATATTTTTTTTATGACCTATATAAGATTGTTGGAAAGTCGATACAACGATAAAACATACTTTGAATGGTTAATTTTGATTTAATTATTTTAGAGTCATTGTAGGATAGTTTTATCTATTTTTAGTGTATAAAATGTAATTTGAGCTTATTATAATTTATTAAATTATTTAATAAAATATGTAGAATACAAAATATTGTGTTAGATTGTGCCATTACGAGTAAGCTTATAAGTAACACAATTTTTTCTTTTGTTTTATTTTTATTAAGAGTAATATTTTATATTTTAAGATTGTTGATGTATATGTATCTAAATATATTGGAGCTTTATGGGTATTTTTATGATCAAGTATAAATATCAATTTTGCCCTTAACACTTTGATGTAACATCATGGAAATCATAGAAGTATAATAATATATAAAAAAAACATCTGGTCATTTCTTTTTTACGATTTATTATTTTAATTTTTTTCTAAAGAAATATTTGAATGTGAGATAACCTAATACAAAATAATGTCAATAAAATTAAAAATACAAAAAATCTATGTAAATTTCATTGTTTAATAATGTTTTTAGATTATATTATTTTTTTAACATTATGTGACGTAACTTCATGACGTCTTTTAAAATGTCATATAAAGAGAGAGAGAGATAGCAATAAGTGACAAATATTGATTTCATCATGCTAAAACTATTTTTTGTGACAATAATAAAACGTTATTTTAATGTCTTATAAAATATGACGAATTAAATTGTCACAAATAAAACTTATTTGTGACAAATGTGCAACGTCACTAATTGAAATCGAATCGTCATTATAATAAATTGTCACTAATACCTTTTTTTCATTGTAGACAATTTTACAATGTCATTATTTTATCTAAATGTCACTAAAATGTTTCCCACTAAAAATATTGATGGGAAGGTTTTGACGCCAAGCATATAGTGACGAAAATCAATGACAATTTTTGAAATTGTCATAAAAAATATACCATTAATCAATAAATAAAATGAAAAGAATAAACGTCATGTTATAGTATATTTTGAGACGTTATATGCAATGTCATATAGAAATATCGTCATAAATTGACAAATTTGTTGTAGTGTATGTACATTAAGAGTTATAAATAGATATTGTTAAAAATATATGTTACAATGGTATGTACAGGCACTATGTGTGCAAATCCACGAAATTCATCATGAGTTGAATAACCGTACATGCATTATGTGTGTAAATCCACAGAATTCATCATGAGTTGATGAATAACCGTATAAACACTATGTGTGCAAATCTACGGAATTTATCATGAGTTGATGAATAACCGTACAGGAACTATGTGTGCAAATCCACGGAATTCATCTTGAGTTGATGAATAACGGTACGGGCACTATGTGTACAAATCCACAGAATTCATCATGAGTTGATGAATAACCATACAGGCACTATGTGTGCAAATCCACGGAATTCATCATGAGTTGATGAATAACTGTACATGCACTATGTGTGCAAATCCACATAATTCATCATAAGTTGATGAATAACCGTACAGGCACTATGTGTGCAAATCCACGAAATTCATCATTAGTTGATGAGTAACCGTACAGGCACGATGTGTGCAACCCAGGGAATTCATCATGAGTTGATGAACTATCGTATATGCACTACGTGTGCCTCTTAATAAATGAACATGAATAGGAAGTTGGTAAATTACCATGTTAGCACTAAGGGTGCAAATTTATAAGGTTTGTAATAAATTAAAAAGAGTTAATTGATATTAGAATTGTTATGCTATACTTATATTTAAAATTTTGCTTATGGTTAAGTATGCCTCGCAAAGAAATTACTTAACGTGTGTTGATTTCACACGTAGGTTTTGATACAATCAGAGTAAGGAGATCATCGAACATCACCAAGCAAGTGTTGCCTCGTCAGTAACAGTACAATATTTATGTGTACTTTTGATGTAGTTAGTTGGCATGTAATAGATTTAGTAAAACGCTATGAAAAGAATTTTATTTAACATGATGTAAAATGATGAAGTGTAAACATTTCTTTTTGTTATATATTTAAGTTTAATGCATGTTTTATTATTAGTAAATTAAAATGTTTTATAAAAAGAAAGAAATATTTATGGGTTTACAAATTAGGAACTGTTTTAAAAGTGATGTGCCATATGTATCTCATGTACGGAAAAGTATACGAGAGATGGGTGTTACAGGTTAAGTCTGTGTTATTCTCATTCCCCATCCGTATGCGGGAGATCCTATTAGTTTGACCACTTAATGATGCGGTCATCTGAAAAACCTTGTGTTCCTGTCGCCCTCGCTGAACTATTTCAGTCGAGACTTCTGAAGCCACTACCTTTCGTCTATACGATATAATGCCCACAGTTTACATTTTAGTTCGTCAATTTCAGCTTGATATCCACCATCTCCCCCTTCAGCTATCACCAAATCTTCCCAAGTCTTTTATCTTTTTCTCCAACTCAATAGTAGATTCAGTCTTCGAAAAGTGCTTCTCTTTCACCCATTCCTTAGAAGCATCTTTGATCTCTCTTAACAGAGCTCATATGCCTTTATTAAGGCATTTATTACCAATCTTTTTCACCATCTCAACGTAATCCTTATCGTCCACCCAATGGTTGAACCACTTAAATAGGCGTGAACCTTAGTATGAGTCTCCTGAATCAGAACTGGATTATGATACGAGAGGCTCCTCGGAAGGGCATACTGCGATAAATTCGAAAGGCAACACAATATCTCAGGAGAGATTAAAAACTTGTTTAATCAACTGGCTGAATTCATAACACCCCCTTTGATCCAGGTAAATGAACTAACTTCGATCGGCAAGTCAACTAACTCAGAATTGAATAAAGTCATCGAACATTCTCATTGCTACTGTGTCAGGTACCCCCGATATTTTCTTCATTGGATCTTACCATGTTAAAGTCACCATCGACGATTACTGGTGCTCCCAAATTCACAACAAGTTCAGTAGAATGAAAAATTCAGATCTCTCGCTAAGGTCATTCGACCCATATATATTTATCAAACCCACCTGTCTATTTAGTTTATGCAAATTGCCCTCCAACACCATAACTCGTCTTTGCACAATGCTGCGTTTGACCAAAAATGCATTCGAATCCCACAACGACAACAATCCTCCTGAAGCACCCTCTAATAAAGATACCTCAAACTCCTGAAACCCATGTCTATCTGTTGACATCTTTGATTCTTGCAAAAATACTACTTTGGCTTTACTATCTCCCAAAACTCTGCTGACTGCTCTCACATTTTTTTACTTTTCCCAAACCTCATACGTTCCATTATATGAATGAAAATTTCATGAACTTAAAGGGGTATACTCACTTTATATGTCACAATCCTCGCCTCTATGTACAATCTTATTCAACACCATCAAGTTCCTCTAAACACACCACAACCTCAGTGTCTGGAGCATTAAATTGCACTCTTAACATATTCCCCATTTTAAGAACTGTGATTACTCCAAAAACTGCCATCTAACCAGGATCGTGATTCGAGTTTCTAAGCTTTATACGGCTTGCAACTGGTCTTCCACCCTGGTTTAAGTTGTTCTTGCCCTCTTTCAACTTTTGCTTTCTCCTTCCCTTGATTTGTTGCTTGTTTAAATGTGATTTTGCATTGACTAGGACAAAATCCACCTCTAAACCTTATTGTTTGTTCAAACAATTTGCAGAATCACGCATGTTCCTCCCCGATACCATAGGACTATTCTGGTACTCCATCCCAATCGACACTTCAAGTAGTCTAGAACCACGAGATCGAATGACCATGGCTCTGTCTCACCAGCTCTCCCTCTAACCTATCATCAGGTATAGCTATCCTACTATCCGAAACTATCGGCACTTCATATAGCACGCCACTATATCAAACCACCTGTTTCCCATTATTGGAACTCTCACCAGAGCCTAGAGTCACATCTCTCCTTTTCTCCATATCATTGTAGTCTGATTAACCGATTTCAGCTTGGAAATCCCCATGTAGACACCCGTTTTTGTCCAGGCCAAAAATATTATTTTATTATTATTATTATTTATTTATTAATTACATGTTTTTCTTGCCCTCATCCAAGCCTAATATTACAAGCCTACCAGGAGGCCAACCCAACAGTACATACAAATGAGGCCCAAAACAATCCAAGTCCAAACCCGAAGACCCAGTTGCAGGACCCGAATCTGGATCCGATCCAAACCCAGCCCAACTCAGTAACCCAGTAGCAATTAGGGTTTTTAAACCCTAAGTTCATCATCCAGCCACCGCCAACAAGGAAAAATTGAACCATCGCCGGCGCATGAGATGCATGCGAACCTTCAAATCGGCGCGTGAACCACTGACGAGCCA